CTCCACACCAATTTTTTTTTTTTCCTCCTTTCACCCCCTTTAGATTAAAAAAAAAAAGAAAAACAAACAATTAATCAAAAAATTCACTGTGACATCATTTAATGAAATCTATATTTACCATATCAAATTCCTTAATAGGTATTCTTAAAAGTTTTTTTATTACGTCAAATCATTTAACCGGTTACTGAGTTGATTGATATATTTTTTTAGAAATCACATTTTTTTTTTATCACATAAGTAAGATTGTGACATGATTTTTTCATTAAACATTTTTTTTGAAAGGTTCAATTTCCTAATTCATCAACAAAAATCATAAATTTAAACTTAAACATGGTCCATATTAAGATAATTGCTACACGAAATTAAAATAAACTAAAAAAGAAAAAACAAAAAAAACAAATATACGGATGTCTAAAACTTAAAATAAAAAAAGAACCTAAAAAAATATTCATTGTTCTCCTAAATTAAATCTTGTATTCCCCAATACTTATTATTATACTGCGTATATAATTATTACATATTTAAATACGTAAAGCTGCGGAAAGTGATAATAAAAGTTATTATAGAACGCGTAATTGCGTAATTTTAACAAAGTTTAAATGAGTTTAAATGTATGAATGATTAAATGATTAAAGTAATTAAATATTTAATTAAAATTAATAATATCAATTCTCAAATATCCAAATTAATAAATCAATATAACAGCGCTTTCAAAAAAGAAAATCAAATGACCTAAAGTTGTACCAAACACCGTGTTAAAAAAATTGCGCCCAGAATTTTTAACTTTTTGTGTAATAATATATTTATTACTAAATTTCTTTTTAAAATTTCACAATTAATATTACCTCATTATTGTCCCTATTTGGTTTGATTATATTCTTAAAAATAAAAAAGTGAATTAAATTAATTAAATTATAACACAAAATCTCTTTTAACCCTTTTAAAAAGAAAAGACACATTATTGTTTAGTAAAGAATAAACATAAACTCCCTTAATTTGTGGGGTAAATATTTTTTTAACTTTAATTGATTTTAGTCAAATTATTTATTTATCAACTAATATGATCGAATCTTAACAAAAGACTCCATTTACTTTTTTGTTATTATCCACTTATCCTACAAAAAGGTCGATTATAATCGGACTATAAGCTGGTTACAAGCGGATTATAAGCGTATTATAATCGGACTATAGTCGGATTATACCTTCTTAAAATTATATATATTATAAGATTATAAACGGATTATAATCGGATTATAACACTATATAACACTATTATAACTTTTAAAATTATATTATAAGGATTATAAAATTCTTTCATAAATGTCATATATGTATCACTAATGTACGATGTAATGACATCAATCTTCAATCTCTTATCTGTTATTTATTATTTTTCCATCGGAAAATGAGTCAACGGAATATACGGTTAACGGAACATGCGATACATACAACATACGGTTATACCGGAAACACGCGGACATACCTATTATTCCGATGTAAAAAAAAAAAAAACTTGTTAGAATCTTGATATTATTACAATATGATTTTAAAGAATTAATTAAAAACAGTTATTTTTCTTTCTTTTA